CAATTTGAATTGGGCTTACCTAAATATTTCTGATAAATTTATTGGGCCTAGATCTGGACTGAATCTTAACTTTATTTTTGGGCCAGATCAGCCCAGTAATTACAGTTAACTAAACTCCCAAAACTCTTCTTAATTTTCTCTATGGACATTGACAGGCCTTTAAAGATTATAATTTGGGATTCATTCTATAAAATTTATACCTTTATCTGAAAATAAACCCTTTTAATATATCAACAATTTATCAATATATCATTTTTTATATTTTTAAATATTATTTAATTATGTACTAAAAAAAATTATGAAAATTCAAAATGGTTTAATTATTAAATTCCTAATTTTATGCCACTTTTCACTCTCCTAAATTAAAAAATATCCAAATATCCAAATTTCTTCGTCTTCTTCACCTGAAAACAAGTGCCCGTCGTCGGTTTCTTTGTCTTCTTCATAAAAAACACCATTTTTTTCAACAGTCTTCTTTGTCTTCTCCGTTCCCTCGCGGGCAGCAGCCCGTCTTGCTTTTCACTATTGTTTCTGACAGACCGTCTCATCGTCTTCTTCGTTTTCTATCGTTATCATCTCCGATAGTCCGTATTTGATTCGCTCGTTTTTCACTATTGTTTGGCAGCCCGTTTTCTACCGTTTACATTTTAAAACTTCTAGGTTTGTTTATGATTTCCGATTTTGGGTGTTCGAGTTTGGGGTATTGTTAAGAACAATTTTTCAATATGGAAGATTATCCTAGTCTATGGATTTTTTTAGCATATGCTAGTGTGTTATTTTATTAAGTAGTTTATTTGCATTGTTTGTTAATTATAGGACGACTATATACTTTATAGTTCATATATAAGTTTATCTGAGCTTGATTTTGGTGAATCGACTCTTCATATTGCAGTCAACACTTATAGTTTATAACCGGATATAGTTTATATCTCCATATAAGTTTATGTTATAATGGTAGCGGTATACAGTTTATATCTCCATATTAGTTTATGTTATAACGGTTGCTGTTATGATCATGAGATTATTTTTAGACTGTTGTACTCATGTTTTGCAGTTAACTTGCATGTGTTTTTTGCTCGTCTGTTATATTCTTCTATACAATTAGAATGAAAAAGAAAATATTTGGTAATAAATTTCATTAGAATATATTAATGAGTAAATTAGGAAATTATAGAAATAATTGATTTGGGGCCACAATGATTTAATGTTTAGAAAATCAAGTTTGAAACATTAAACCTTTAAACTAGAATTTGCAAGAATTCTCACATCATAAATGATTTTGAAATCATTTGAAAGAAAAAGAATGAGTTTGAAGTAACAATAGATTTGAAATCACATTTTAAGTTCCAAAATTTTCCATTTCAAATAGCTCGGATTTGTCAGGATTTGAAATTAAAAAGTATCTAATTCCAAATTTATCCCACAGATAATCTTTCAAACATTACTTCATAAGCAAACAGCCGTTCAACTAAATTAATTTTTTTCTTGTCTCTCTTCTACAAACATTTTTTGAATGATGGTTCAAGCAAAATACAATTTTTTATACATTTAAAATTTCTCTTTAGTATTTTTTAAAACATTTTTGTAATTCTTTTTAAGTTCCCTTCTTGTGTTTTTGTTCGTGAGGTTTTTTAAGATGTTGTTAAATTTTTTTTAAGGTTTAATTTAATATATTGATTTGATTAAATGATTTCATTTTTACGTGGTTCACACTATTATTTCATATTAAAATATTATATTATTATTAATATAATATTATACTAAATTATAAGGGCATAATAGTAAAGTGTTATACTTTATTTTCATTTCTTGTGAACATCCAAACAAGAAATTTTACTTTTAATGATTTGAATTCAATTTGGTTCCAAACGTAATTAGAAATTTGAAATCATTTCCATTATTAAAAAATCGTGAAATTTAAAATCATTTCTCATCAATCCAACGACAAATGGAGCATAAATCTTTTATATTTAAATAAAAAAATTAATTATAATAAATATAAATGTCAATAAAGGTAAATTTCGCATTTGGAAAAAATTTTAAATCTAAAAATCTAAAATTGTAAAATTTGTAAATGTTAAACATCTGTGAAAATAAGATTCCAAGACAAAACGTGGAACATATTATCTCTTCTCATTATTGCAAAAGAATTGGAGAAATTGTGCCCTCAGTAGCAATAAAGATTTTCCTCACAGGAAAAAAATATTATATCTTTTTAGTTAAATATACACTTAAGGTTGGCCTAAAGTATACATGTCATGCACTAGAGATGAGATTAAAAAATAAGTATAATTTAAAGACTAAATGTTACAGCCTAACTTGAGCATATTTTCAACCTAAAATGTCCGAGATTCATGTTGTTGAATAAAAAAACTAAATCGCTAGTTATGACATATCATATAATCATTAATAGAACATTTATTTTAAACTTAAGTCTAGTTCAACGAACATCACCTCTCCCCGTGTTATTGTACTAAAAAATATTTTGATACCTCATTTTCACTTTAATTAAATATCTTTTAGGAATTAAATTTCGTTGAATTACCTAAGAATTCAGAAAAAAAAAAGTTACAATTACCTGAGCCGCAACAATTTAATTTAAGTAATTTTCTTTTTTTTTTTAACATAAATTTTAAAATAAATAATGTAAATTCGTTAATAAATTATATACTAGCTGGACGGAGTTTTTTTTAATATTGTTAAAAAAGAAACTAATTCCAAAAATATTGCAACATTTAAACTAATCCAATAAATAATGCTGATTTTATTATTTTGATTAGCTGGCAGAGCAAGTGGGTCCCACAATATATTTTTTTTTAATTTCCAGCCTCTGCCACGCAGACATTTTATGGTTGGTTCTAGGTAAAATACTTATGTTTTGACGAGTGAATTCGAATTCTCCTTATCTCATACGTTCAACATTTTTATACCTAAAATAAATAATATCAAACTAAAATTATAGTGATACGATCTACCTATACTTGATAAGATTTTTAAATCTTTCTCAATATATATACTTCAAAATGCTTATATTAATCTTTTAACTGATCTAAATCTAAAACTACTCAATAAGTTCTTATTGTAGATTGAAGAACCAAATTCAGTTTTCTAGAACCAACCATAAAATTACCATCAGTTTTAAATATTATATTTTAGTCCTTAAATTTAAAATTTGTTTAATTTTATTTACTAGATGTTTATGAAAAGCTATTTACCGATTGCTATAATTTCATGTTTATCCTTTTAATTTAAAATTTGATTCATTTCTAAATACATCACTTATTTAACGATACGTGATTTCAAATATTTGCTCACATAAACATCTATTGATCATAACGTAATTGATAAAATACGTGTCACATTAAAATCATATTATACAATTGATGAGACAAAAACTAATATAATCTTTTTATGTAAAGTAATATGCAGACTAAAAATAGAGCATTTTGAAGGTTTACAGAAAAAAAAATAAAAAAAAAGATAAAAGGAGCGTGACTTGTTTGAATACACATATACTAAATAGAGTGTTTTCAACATTTTCGATATTTGAAAAAGTTGAAAAAACTATTTTTTTTAGGAAGAAAGAAAAAACTAAAAGTTGGTTTTATTTTTTGAATTGTATTTTTAAATTTGGACACTCCAAACATAAATTTATTGTATCCATTTTATTCTTTATTTTGTAAATCATAAAATTGAATCTAAATCTCCCGCCAAAGATTTCATAGAAATTGCGATAAAAGTTAAAATCTATTATTCATTCAAAAGATTATTTAAATAGATATACTTTTTGAAATCTTATTCTTAGTACAATTTTAAATTCACGTTTAATTCGATGGAATGATTTTTAATACCTACCTTTCATGATTTGTTTAATTCTTTTTTTTAGAAAAAAATTGTTTAATTCTTTTTTCTTCTAAAAAGTAGGATTATATATATATATAGATGATAAAGACATAACTGTTTAAAAAATCATATCTTTAATATTCTATTCACACTTTTTGTGTTCTAAAGAATAGAAGGAAAGTTTTGACTTTTTGAAGAGTAGTATATTACTATTAAATAAAGGATGAAAAATCCTAGGGAAAAACAAAAAAGAAAAATCTAAATATACTTTTTTGTCAATGGATTTATTTTTATTTTTTTTTTATTACTACAACAAATTGGGGTATGAGTTCGAACATCCGATCTCAAAAAAATGAGTAAATGTCAATTACGGTTAAACTATGCTTGTGTTGACATGAACTTGGATTTGAATATTATAATTACAAATAAGAATTCTAGTTTTTAATCTTAATCTACTCTTAATTCTTCTAAATTTACTACTATGAAAAATCTATCAAAAATATTGTTACTTTTTATAATATTTCTCATTTTAAATTAATCTAAAAAATGTTTATAAAAATAAGATAATAATTTAAACATAAATTAACAACAATAATAATTAAATTATAAACTTAACTAGAATATGCCACTCTTATATTTTAACCCACATTTGATTCTTGATGAAGAATATTTGAATTTAATATATAGTGTAAAGTTATTAAAAGAATACCTTTAAAAACTAGAACTTTTTAGACTCTACAGAATTCAAATTAAAATTTACCTAAACGAATAAAATAAAAAAAAAAGATATGTGAATAACTAACGTGTAATAATCTATTAAAAAAGATATATTAATATAATATTTTATAGAGAAATTTAAACCTGTATAGTTTATATATATATATAGCAGCAATACATAGATTGTTAAATATATATATATGTCTTAAAATTAGGGATGTTCATCCCCCACTTAATTCTTCATCCCCGTAAAAGTTTCGTGGCGGGGATTCTATACGAGAAATTTACAGAGATTGGATTTCTTACGGGGATTTTTACGTATTTATTCTTTTATTTTAAAATTCATTTTTCAATTAAATATATTTTTTAAGGAAGTTTCTAATTATTTACTCAAGTTTCAATATGATAAAACTTTATTTACATGATCTAATCCTCCTATACATATTGTATGGGTAGAAAAAAAATAGGATCTTTCAATATTTGTAAACATAAAGAGAACAATAAGATTTGTTAAGTGTATATAAATATAAAAATGGTGAGGTGGACGGGGACGAGAAAAAACCTTTTCAATTCATTCTCCATCCTAGTCCCTGTTTAGGCGACCGAAAAAAAACTTCCTCCATCCCCACTGCACGTATTCGTCCCATTCAAACGGATCCCGCAAGACCATTCCTAGCTAGGAGAAAAATGAACATTTCTGCTTCAAATAACCTGTGGTAAGAAATTTTGTTAACTTTTAAATATACATTCCAATGATTTGCTGCACTATTTAGTATTTATAAACATCATCAACATATAATTGGAAAATTAGAGTTTAAATCAATGACAGCCAATATATATCCTTGTTTTTTCTTTTAATAAAATTTAAACTTTGGCATGTCTATAACACTCGAAAAAGAAAAGGACAAAATTTGGAGTATACATCTATGTCTATATATAAAAGTACATAAAAGTAGCAATAGGGATAAATTCTAATTTGCTTTCCTTATTCATTTATTATTTTGGCTTTCTAAAATTAAATAAACAAAAAATTTATCTTTAATATATTAAAAGTTACCAATTAAGTTATTCCATAAAAATAGTTATTAAAAATTCTCAAAGATAAAAAAAAAGTTGTATTTCATGTGATGTTTTCGTTGTTTCCAAATATGTGTCTGATAGTAAATTTGAAAATTTAATCTCAATTTAAAAAAATTGTTCAACTAATATGTTTGCAAACTAGTGTTAGTTACTTATTAAATATTTAGTTAATATGAAATATTATTAATTAATTTATTAACCTATATATTATAAATTTGGTATAATTATCATTTTACAATATTATATCATTTATAATTATACTATGTTATATGTGTTCTAATTTTAAAAATGAAATAATTTTATAACGTAAAATAATATATTTATCAAGATATTTTTATTATAATTCTTTTTTTTAGAAAAGTTTTTGTTAATATAATTATAAAATTTATAATTGAGAAAAAATAAATAATATTTTTAGTATTTATACCGTTGGAATTACAAAATCCAAAAAACAAAATTAAAAAACAAAACTGTCAAACAAATATCCACCAAATCTAAATCTGAAACAAATAAACATCGCTGGCGAAACAAATTCGAAAAAGTAAAAATCTTTTCTAAAAAAAAGAAATGTACGAATAAAAAATAATAATAAAACGAGATTCAGAATTAATTAAAAAAACGAGAAAAAGGGCGTGGGGCCCACATCCGATTCAGTGGCACGGTGGAAATCGTATATTTTCTCCTCTGTTTCCCAATTCTAGCGCCACCGTCGTACGGCGGGGCGGTGGCACAGCGGCCGCACCGGATCAGCCGGGCCCACCGCTCTAAAATGGAATCGGATGCAACGTCTCCCTCTCCCTCTCGGCTCCACTATATATAATACTGCCAACCCGCCCCCTCTGTATCACTAAAAAAATAAAAAGAAATAAGAAAAAAAACCTCCATCACTTCTCTCTCCTCTTCATCTCTCGTTTCCTCTCTCTAAATATTTCCGAAGGACGAACAAACGAAGAACAACCGCATTCGATTTCGTTGCAATTTGCTTCGCTCCACTCTCTCCATCAACTGAATCTCAGTATCCATCTCGTAATAGTAACAAATTAATAATAATAATATATATATATATACACACACGAATAAAGAATTGCATTCGCTCGCTGATCGCCACGGGATTTCGATTGGATCTGCTGCGTAATCGTGCCGTCATGTAAGACAACTTCCCCAGGCTTTTTTTTTTGTGTGTTTGTTTCTGTTTGATTGATTTGCTTTCTTTTAATTAATCATTTTTGCTTTATTTATGATCTCGATTCGTTACTGTTGTTGTTTGTTTTGTTTTGCTTGCGATTGTTGTGGAGTTGTGTGAATGTAGATTACTGTAGCTGCGTGCCGTGTGTGAACTCGGATTTCTGATTGATTTATTATTTCGATTTCGGCGTGTGCAAATCTGAATCTGCTTTTTGCGTGCGTTGTATTCTGTTATGTGTCGTTTCGGAATTTAGGACTGTGGTTTCTTCTTCTGTACGGATGAAGGGATATGATTGAGGTGTATGGCGTAAATTACGTGAATGGGATGTTGGTGGTGTATGGTGTTGTGATTGGTAAGGATTCGTTCATGTATCATATGCTACAACGTTTATGTTCAATATCAAAGTACGAGCAGCCTGCTGGGTTGAAGTAGTCTTTGAATCTACTCGGTATTTTTTAGGACAGCGGTTAAATTTAAATCATCTGTGGTCGATTCAACTGTTCTTATATTGGAATATGGTAATGGGGAAAATAATTGTACATAAGTTTTAAACGAAATTGATAAGAGTGGGAATGCCCAGTTCGTGCAGATCCTATGGATAGGATAGTTAAGTACTCCAACTACTATGACGTAATGGGGATAATTGATAGTTGTATTCTGGTGTTTAGATCTTGAGGCCATTTATGCTAAAGATTGATTTTGTTGTGTTGATAGTACCTAGAATAGTAGGTCTGTATGCCCTGCATTGCACAGAGGAGGGTTGTTTTTCTGTTTTATCTTATTAAGTTGGGTGTAAAGGAAAGGCTTTATGAATGACTGCATGCTGTTGAAAATACGCTCTTCTAATTGTCTGAGAATTTAGGTTAGCTAAATGCGTTTCCTCCCTTATAAGGAATACTCATTGCTAGTTTCTCTTTATTATAGTTAAGATTCTGGGCATGGGTTCTGCTTCAGTCGTGGATTTAATAGACGCCTCCTCGGGCGTGCATTTTTCTGGACTGCATATGGATGGTTTGAAGCAACAAAATGGACATGCGAGGAGCTTTACGTCAGAAACTGAAAAATTTCATAAACAACCTTTTGTCATTGGCAAGTATTTATGTCCATTACCTGCTTGATTTCATTTTGCCTCAGGGTAGGTGAAAGATGCATAAAACTGACGTTTATTTAAGAAGGAATTGATATTTGTCCTAAATTTTTATAGTGGGTAATTGATTGATGCGTAATATTGTAATGCATGGCCATGGATCTGCATCATAATAGTTGACAAAAGTGACTTTAATGTGGGCCTTTCTTAAAGAGACATCAATCCTCTCATACCTTATAGTTGCAACTAAAATTACATGATAAGTAAACAAATTTTATTTTTTCATTCTTTTTTTCCTTTCATCTGTCCACCTTGTTAACTGATCCGGAAAACTCAAAATGACGTCAAAAGGTCCAGCTATATTGAATCATATCACGGTTTATTTGTTTATTTATTTTTATGTTATTGGTGGGTTTGGTAGTTAGTCCTTCTCATAGAAGACTTCTTTCACTCATCTATTTTATCATATTCTTGTTTAGCTTCATTCACGACATTCTTTGTGTACTCTATAACTTTGAGTTTTCCAAACAAACTCAAACTCACGGGTCTTAAAAATCTTCTGTCTGTATGGCTCACAAATCTTCTTTATCTTTGAAGGGGTTGCTGGTGGTGCGGCTTCTGGAAAGACTACAGTTTGTGATATGATCATTCATCAACTTCATGATCAGCGAGTTGTTCTTGTAAACCAGGTAGTTTTCTTTATGCAAATTTCCATTTACTGGTGATGATCATCAGAAGTATCATGTTAGATTAATTACCTTTTAACTTGAAAAACTGAGCTCCTAAACAGGATAATTCAAGATCATCAATTGCTTGGAGTTAATCTGAGTTCTTATCAGCCTCATATATATATATATATAAATGTGTTATTTATTTATTCTTAAACATTAATCTACCACAACTCTTTGCCCCATGGCTCTATAGAAACATGGGGGAGAATCACAAGTGAGGATTTAAATTCGATGAGCTTCAGACACTGATATTGATATTATACGTTGGTCTCATAGGATTCCTTCTATCATGATTTAACTCCTGAGGAACTTAAACAAGTACATGAATACAACTTTGATCATCCTGGTAAGTTTAATGTTTCAATTTATAATTCATATTTTATAACAAACGAATAATTCCTTGGGTATTTCACTGTATAGTTCCAAATATATTTTAATGCTAATATTTCTCTCAATAGCATATTTTTCATTGGAAATTACTAATTGTTTGTTTAAACATTTTGCATCTTCCATGTCTTCCTATCATCAAATTTACTTAATTCATGTTTCTGTCCTCTTTTTACTATTGTGTGTTTTTTCTCTGGCCTTCTTTTCTGCTTTGCATGTGTTAAGGCTTAATTTCTAGGAGTAAGAGAATAATCTAATAGATTGGTTTTATCATTTTGCTATGTGATGACAGCTAACCTAAATCTTCTCTTTTAAATACTTTTATGTTTTGTTTTATTTTCTGGGCTGTATTTTAGCCTGTTTTGAGAACTGTTTTTTGGTGGGCTTAATATGCTTGGGCTCCTGACTAGGCTGTGGTAACTGGTTACTCTCACCAACATTTTGGGCTTACAAATCAATAAAAAATTGAACATTCTAGTTGCATTAGTGCGACAAGTTGAGAATTATATCATCATCAATGCAATATTTAGAGATGCTTCTTGGCTTTACCCTTGAAAAGCTTGAATGCTAATGTTTTCTAAGCTGCATTTTTACTTGGAGAATCTATATATTAAATGACTAATCATAGGGTATATCATCTTAATAATAGTTTGAAGGACTATCTATTGATCAGTTGATTTATACTGGATGAATATATAATCAATATCGTAGTTGTGTTGGGTTGACTGTTTAAGGGTTTAAAAAATTGATGGAATGCTTCTTTTTGATGTAAAATTTATTGTATCAGATGCATTTGACACGGAGCAACTTTTAAGTTCAATGGATAAATTGAGGCATGGGCAGCCTGTAGATATTCCAAAATATGACTTCAAGAGTTATAAAAATAACGTGTTTCCACCAAGAAGGGTATGGCATTTAGATATAACTGCCCGTTTGCTATGATTAAAATGTTATATATGTTTGAATTTTTTTTACTTATATTTTTTTTCCCATTTTGTGACATTAGAATTAGTCACACTGAAAATTCTTCTTTTATTTTCTGATGTGGCATTACTTTCATGCGAATAGATTCTCAGGGTGCCGTCTTGTATCTTTAGGACACTAGGACATGCCTGTACAGTGTACAATGAATTTGATTCTGCTGTTCTACTCTGTCCGGGTTTTGATTACTTGAGTTTGATCGGGGAGAGGTAAAGTACATAAAATTTGTGGTTGAAAAAACCTATTTCAATAGGTAAAAGGTATAAATTGATGAATGCTTGATAGGTTCTTTTATACCTTTAAACATTAATCATATTTATAAAAACTTTATTTCATTATTGAAAAACGAAAGCAAAGGTGTTGTATTTGAATTATAACGGGGAGGTGTTTGATTTTATTTCACCTTCATTAGACTTTCTAGCTAATATCTTATTAATGATACTCACAAGTAAATCCATCATCCATGCCATGGCGTCATATACGTTTTAATTTTTGGTGCCACAAACGCAAAGTCAAATTGTCATTTTCAGGTTAACCCTTCAGATGTTATCATTTTGGAAGGAATTCTTGTTTTTCATGACCCTCGCGTTCGAGAACTGATGAATATGAAGATATTTGTTGATACAGGTCTCTATGTTCTGTCCTTACTTTTGAATGTGCTGTTTCTATTTTTCTATGTAATGAAATGTAGTAGCTTTTGAGACTTTTTGGATCTGAAATGAAGTCATACGTTCGTCTTCCTCTCCACTTGTGAATGTTGTTGTTGCTATTATTCTATGAAATAAAAATTAGTAGCTCTAGAGACTATCAGATTTGAAACGAAGTCTTTTTTTCTCTTTGAGACAGCTCTTTTCCTTTGTGCTGGTGGAGGTGGTGGGTGAGAAAAAAATATTTCCATTCTAATTAACATTGGGACCCAAGGCTTCATTTAGTTTGTGATTTATGAAAGGTTTTCTATTTTTTTAGATACTTCAAATACAACCATTAGAAATAATATGCATGGGAAAGGTTTATGAAAATTAAAATAGTTTTTGGATTCCTTTTCAGAAAATTGAAGGGCTGTGGAAAATGTTGAAAAGTTGTTATTTGTTTTCAAATTTTATTTTCTTTCTATAAATTTTTGTGTTTCAAATTCTTTAATCAAATGAATTTTATAAAATAAAATAACTTAGAATAATAGATAAATTTTTTATGAATTTAATTGAATATTTTATAATATTAAAATAGTTCTGACTAAATGAAATAGTTCTATGGTGCATGCAAAATTTCTGGAAATGTTGAACCTACTAAGTTGAGTAATTGCTTCACATTTTATATTTTTCAGTGCAGATGCTGATGTTCGTTTGGCGAGAAGGATAAGGCGCGATACTATGGAGAAGGCTAGAGACATAGCTGCAGTACTTGATCAGGTTAGTAGTTTGTACCATCAAATATCCACTGGAGTTTGGTACTATGCTGTGATACTTGGAGTCGCATCTTTCAGAGATGATGGTTTTTATTTTTACTATTATTATTATTATTTTTGTTTACTTTTTTACTTTTTACTCACTGTCTTTTCCTACATATGCAAATAATTGATACATGGACGTTTGGTACTACGCTGTGCTATTTTTCATTTGTAATTGGAGTGCTTCTTTCAGAGATAATGATTCTTTTTATTTTTACTCATTAGTTTTTCCGGTTCACTCATTAGTTTTTCTGGTTTTCCCACATGCAAATAAATAATAGACACTGAGCTAGAAAAGCTTTTTGTAATCCCATTTATGGGCTACTTTTGTTATTTCATACATCAATGAAATTGTTTCTTACACAAAAAAAGATTACGTATAAGTTAATCTACTCCAATTTTGGATTGATCCCAATCACCTTCTTTTTTCCACACGTTTGACTTTCAGTGTAGTGTGGCTTTAGAAATGAAACTTTTTTTTAAACTAAAGGTATTTCTAGATTTCTAGATCATATTTCTTTATGAATAATTTGTATACTTTCATTTTGATGCAGTATTCAAAATTTGTAAAGCCTGCTTTTGATGACTTCATTCTTCCAACAAAGAAGTATGCTGATATCATCATCCCCAGAGGGGGCGATAATCATGTTGCCATTGATTTGATTGTACAACATATTCGCACAAAGCTTGGTCAGCATGATCTTTGTAAAATATACCCTAATTTATATGTCATCCAGTCAACCTTTCAGGTATATAACCCGTCAACTCTGTGTTTTGCTATTTACTTAGAATGCTAAACATAATTAGATCCTTTTTTGTTGTAATATCAATTATTTCTTGTTGGGGATTAATACTGTTGCTGCTTTTTTCAGATACGAGGTATGCATACATTAATACGAGATGCTAAAACTACAAAGCATGATTTTGTGTTTTATGCTGACCGATTGATTCGTCTGGTAAGTTCTATGCCTACAGACACCTTTATTCTATCAGTGGTTAACTTTGTTTGTAGAAATGGTTCAAGAATTTTCTCTTTGGTTTTTATTCCTTGTCATGACTTCCTGACTCTTGATTAGGTTGTTGAACATGGTCTGGGACATTTACCATTTACAGAAAAGCAGGTGATCACTCCAACTGGTAAGCCGGTTTAACTTGTTTTATCATTGTATTAATGTCATTAAGGCTTTCTGGTATAAAATATTAATTTAATTATTAGTTAAAGGATAGGAATCTATGCATTTAGTTAGTGTCCTTTTTACTTGTGAGCTGTATGCATTTTCTGTCAAATCTAAATGGTTTTCTTTTAATAAAATCTGAATGATCTGCATTATTACCCTCTGGCGTCTCTACTATTTTCCTCTGAAATTTTTGAAAAAATATTCATTTCTTCTGAAGCTTCATTCTTAAGTTTTAGGTGTACCCTCATGTTTTTCTTCTTTGCATGATCGATGACACTTGGGTTATAGGGACCAGAAAATTATATTTTATTGAAAGAATTGAAAATTCTTCTATCCATATGGAGGAAAATAGGTGAGGGCTTATCTCTATGCTAACGACCATTGAAAAATTGACCGCTAAAAAAAAATTCTGTTTTTACATTTCTCTCCTTTAGTTGTCAATCATTTAACAGTGATAGGTTCTCGCCAGTTGGGACTTTTTTTTTTTTTATAAAAAACTAAGTCCCCATCTGCATTACCTGAAAATCATAATCTGATTAACCTACGTGTAGATATTCCTATGGTTGCAACTTTATCATCAAGATTAAGTGTTCAGCACAGTTATGATGCAGCATGCTTAGTAAATCAGCTGTTTTCATTTGGGTTTGTTTTCTTTTTGAGATGTGATGTTATCTGCTTTATTTATATGTTGCGGAATAAATTAATTGCTGCTAGAACCTTTTTTTTTTTTTGTGCAAACACAGGATCTGTATATAGTGGTGTAGATTTCTGTAAGAGGTTATGTGGTGTATCTGTCATCAGGAGGTAAGACGTACATCCCAATTCTTTTGTGGCTTAGAAGTTGTGTACTTTTATCTGGTTCCCTAAATATTAATTTCATTCATCCAAAGGGGTGCGTGCCTCTAATGTGTATTGTGTTTTTATCTTGGTCCTTAAAAGTTACACCGTTGATTATTTTAAACTGATTCCAGTGGTGAGAGTATGGAAAATGCTCTCCGCGCATGTTGTAAAGGCATCAAAATTGGAAAGATTCTCATTCATAGAGAAGGCGATAACGGCCAACAGGTATGCTCTTGTTGTTTTCTTTGGTTCCATTCCCAAGATGGTTTTGTTCCCAATAAAGAATATAAGAATTCACTTGTATGTACAAATTGACAAGGTCTTGATGTTGTATTCTTTTTGCAGTTAATTTATGAAAAATTACCCTCGGACATCTCCAATAGGCATGTATTGCTATTGGATCCCATCCTAGGCACAGGTTTGTTACTTTTGTCATATTAGCTCATACTCTATGAATTTCTCAGATTTAACTTTAAGTTTTGTCATGGCCATTAATTACCTTTATGTGATCTGTGACATGAATTGGGCTCGTTGTGAGACGGCTAGGAACCATAAAATTCAAAATTTTCTATGTAACCAATCACAGTTAATTAAACTTAGGTCTGATAGTCTCTACATTTCTTCAGGAAACTCGGCCGTGCAAGCCATTTCGTTGCTCATAAGCAAGGGTGTTCCAGAGCCTAATATCATATTTCTCAACCTCATATCAGTAAGTTTACAAAGTGTCAGCAAAATTTTGTACAGAAGAGCAGGTTTTCTCTTTTTGATCTTACTTAAAATGTCACTTTCTTCCTCACCCCTAGGCACCTCAAGGCGTACATGTGGTGTGTAAACGCTTCCCAAGAATAAAGATCGTGACATCTGAAATTGAGACCGGCCTGAATCAAGATTTTCGTGTGGTGCCTGGTATGGGCGAGTTTGGGGACCGGTATTTTGGAACCGACGATGATGAACAAGTGAGGCCTCTCCACACTAGTCGCTCTTTCAAGTAATAAACACTCCCACTCACAAAAATCATAACCAGTCGTTGGTCGTGGAGAGAGATATGATCTTGGCTCAAAATAATGTGGCTATTATAAGTTGTGTTTGACGAGGTGTTTTAGAAAGAAAAAATTTTGACTCAAGTGTTTTACATGGAAAAACAAATGCCCCCCTTATTTTATTATTAATTATTATTACTATTCGTCTTATTCTTTGGCTGTGCAGTTGGCTTTTGATTTTTATGCAATGCCTTGCAGCATTATAAACATGGAGAGATTGTATAAAGCTAAAACTCTTTTACGCAGGACCTGAATATGGCTGATTTCTGTTAGCTGTGTTATTGTTGTACTCTAATTTTCGAGTCTGGCTAGGGGCACAGAGATGCTCCTTGAAACTTGCTAATGTTCCACTGCTCTAAAAGCTGAGGCAAGATGTCCTAAAGGCAGCTCAGTTAGTAAGGACTTAGGTCTCTTGGTCATCCTGGCTCACAAGTTCAAATTTTTCGAGTTGGATATTACAAACTCTTGATGTCTTTCGGATTCGAGCTTTGGGGTGGGTAGTCCTGGAGGTAGGAGAGCAAAGCTCTGACTCCCAGTTATAAAAAAAGAAAAAAGAAAAGCTGAGGAAAGATGGAATAAAACGAAAAGAAAGAATAATGGGCAGAGAGAGAGAGAGAGGTAAAATCCAAGAATCAACTTTGTTGCCTAGGAGTGCGGCTTTTGAAATCTCCAAGGAAGAAATAGATGAGGACCATTAGCTTTTTCTTTTTTTGTTCTTTGTTTGAAACGATACAGATAAACGGATTTCAGCTGTTTGAAGTACTGTTGGGGATGGATATAATTGAGGGGATGAGTTGCCACTTGGCTTGGAAAGCCATCACTCATTCCTCTATCCTACTTTCGATAACCCCCGTTAGGCTAACTTTGTGACACGTGTCCATGCATTTGCATGGGCCTTGATTCTGCCAGTATATTCCCATGACGAAGCTTATCTATCTATATAGATAAAAAACTTTTTGCTCTTTCGTCCCTCACATTTCCATCTCTCTCAGAATCAGAAGCTTCCCCTCCACCTCTAACCATGGCTGCCTTTGTTGGGAAGTATGCAGGTACCTCTCTCTCTCTCTAATGCGCATTCACACACACACGTGTAAATGTAGAGGGAAAAACATCTGGGTTTCTGATGAATGATTCATAAAGTTTGTATATTTTTGTACAGATGAGCTGATCAAGAATGCCAAGTACATTGCCACCCCAGGGAAGGGCATATTGGCAGCTGACGAGAGTACTGGCACTATAGGGAAGCGGCTGGCGAGTGTTAACGTCGAGAACATCGAGTCCAACCGCCAAGCCCTACGTGAGCTCCTCTTTACCTCTCCCAATGCTCTCTCTTATCTCTCAGGTGTCATCCTCTTCGAAGAGACCCTTTACCAGAAGACTTCAGACGGGAAGCCGTTCGTTGAAGTCCTTCAAGACAACAATGTCATCCCAGGCATCAAAGTGGACAAGGGCACGGTGGAGCTGGCTGGCACCGACAGCGAGACCACGACGCAAGGCTTCGACTCCCTCGGCGCTCGGTGCCAGCAGTTCTACAAGGCCGGCGCTCGCTTTGCCAAGTGGCGTGCGGTTCTCAAGATTGGCGCTGCCGAGCCTTCTGAGTTGTCTATCCAACAGAACGCGCAGGGATTGGCTCGCTACGCCATTATTTGTCAGGAGAATGGATTGGTTCCGATTGTGGAGCCTGAAATCCTCACTGATGGACCTCATGATATCAAGAAGTGCGCTGCTGCCACTGAGATTGTGCTCGCGGCGGTTTACAAGGCGCTGAGTGACCACCACGTGCTTCTTGAAGGGACCCTCCTCAAGCCCAATATGGTCACCCCTGGCTCCGGTAGCCCAAAGGTGATAATGCTCACTCTATTCTACACACCCTCTTCATTATTTACCTGTTTGAACTCCGAATTCGCATGAGTCCTAAGCTAAAAGCCCTTTCACTAAAAAAGATCTAGGAAAATAGTTGGCTTTTTAACGGTAAAGAACTGTTCTCACAACCTTTAAATCTTGACAACTAAGAGTGAAAAATGTAAAAACATGGACTTTTTAAAAAAAATAATGAGTTATCAAATTTTCAATGGTGATAGCATGAAAGTAAAAGTAAAAATTAATTGCGAAAGAAAAACAATTCGGTACTTCAAGTCCCAAAAAAGGGATATCTCCAAGTTACACAAGCTTTGTCTCCAACCATAGGATGAGAGGGGTATTTTGGAAATTTCCAACTCTCTAGAATTATTTTTAGGGTTTTGTAGTATTTTCTGAGGTTTATAGTTATAGCCGCCACTTCATATTCTTTTAGATATTTCTTCCCTTTTCTAATTGCTAGTTGACACATTAAAATTTACTGGATATTTTCCTGATATTTTTAGAGTACATCGAGGGATTTATCATTTATGTTTATGCATTTTATTTTTCTCTTGCACCCGTTTGGCCATGCATGAGTATGTGATTAGCAAACACAACTCTTGAATATACCTTTAATTTTTAGACGTCAGCTTGAGATGATGTTGTGTGATAATAGGTAGCTCCTGAGGTGGTGGCGGAGTACACGGTGGCTGCACTTCGCCGGACAGTCCCGGCCGCCGTCCCGGGGATCGTGTTCCTGTCAGGGGGACAAAGCGAGGAAGAAGCCACACTCAACCTCAACGCCATCAACAAACTGGAAGTGTTGAAGCCATGGACTCTATCCTTCTCATTCGGTCGAGCATTGCAGCAAAGTACGCTCAAGATATGGAGTGGGAAGAAGGAGAACGTTGGGAAAGCTCAGGAGGCTTTCTTGGGGAGGTGCAAGGCCAACTCCGAGGCCACTCTCGGCACGTACGGCGGTGGAATCGGTGGCGGGTCGGCCTCCGAGAGCCTGTACGTGCCCGGCTACAAATACTAAACTAACTTTTGGAGGTTGGTTGGTCGTGGGGCTCTGGTGTGGCTGAATGAACTGTGTATGATAATACTACTTGATCTTCTTCCATCTTTCTTGATGCACATCTCAAGTTTGTGTATGTAATCAAAGCTCTCTACATCTTGGCTGTGTACTCCATAATTCATTTCAAAAAATATATATATATACCTATATGTTTTTTTACTTCTGATCGATTTTGATCTCTTATTCAAATCTCATTAACTCGTCACAAATTTTATCATCATATCATAAATACGAAGTAAAGATGTGAACTTACCGTCTTTCAAAGAAAGTTGATATATCTTATGAAATATGTCACGTTGACACAAATTTTAAGGTATTTGTGTATTTTGAGGGAGAAGTAAAAAGTGTGGAAGAATACAAAAGGAACCGCTTACTTAGCAATTAAGTGTTTAGATATTGTAATCCTAATGTTGTGGATGAGATTTTTTAAAATTAAAATATGAGATTTTTTCCAACACGGGCTTGTCTCTGACTTCTACCATGAAGTCGAATCCCTCACCCTACTTCTTATATTTTAAAAAAGGTTATGAGTTTGAATCCCCACCTCACCTGACTTAGTTTAACTAGGTGGGACTAAAACTAGATAAGATTTGATTAATATATTGACGTGACTTATAATGATCTATCTTAAACTCACGTGAGATGTCTTTTTTTTTTTTTCTGGTTATATCAAATGTGAGGATGGAGGGTCGGTGCCTTAACTGCCAAAGTAAAGTGCCTTAACTGCCAAGTTATGCTTGTGTTGGCAGATGTCTTATTTAAGTCATAGTTGAAGTTAACTAATGATAGCGTATAGCCTAGCCTAATGTTACTCTATCAAGTATCAACAACTTATGACAAGTGTGATCATAGTATACGCCTCCTATAATATATTTGAGGATGGAAAGGAAGTAAATTTTATGTTCCTTACCTATCCAAATTATGTGAAACTCAAGAACGGATGTCCATTTTCCGATGGGAACCCGCTCTTGTTAAGATTCCCAGTAGAATAGGGATGAATGAGGATGGAGACTAGGAATACGTTCCCTGTCTTCGTTCCACGCCCTGCATCACTTTTTTTTTTAAATATATATATATGTACTAAAAAAATCGTACTATTCTCTCTCTATGTATACACATACTTAAAAACCTATTCTTCTCTACCTATCCACCCAATAGATATAGAGACAGAAGAAGATTAGATTATGTAAATGAATTTTTATCATTAGAAATTTATTTATAAAAAGTATTTATTTGAGAAATAATTTTAAAAATAAAAAACAAACAGGGAAAATTCTTCGTAGAAAACTTGACCCTTGCGAATTCCCTTCAAAATTTCATGAGAAATTTTGTAGAAATGAGGAATTAAATGGAGAAATGAGGAATTAAATGGAGAGTAGGGACGAGGAAACCTTCCCCATCTTGCCCACCCCGTGAGCATCCCTAAAACTCTAAGTTGATTTAAGTATCGGAGTCCAAATCATCTCTATTTTAGCAAATAACCTATGATCCACGACCTTCGTGGTTGCATTTGGTTTTGCCACCCCTCCAATTGTCCAAATATGTTAATATATAAACCAATAACTTAATTTATATCAACTTCTTGTTATCAAACTTCAACCAAATTTTTTACACAAGGATCTAATTAAAAAATTTTAAAATTAAAATATTTATATTTAAACTTTATTTTGTTCCCTAAACTTTTAGCCTTTGTTAGATTATTTTTCCGCCTAAAATTCATTTAATACTTGATTTCAACCTATATGATTTGAATATACGATCATGTTAACACACGTCATGTTATTAATTTGTTAAAATCATGATAAAAATAATTCAAAAACCATAATAAACCTTTCAAAAGTTTAGGTATTAAAAGGAAACAAAATAAAAGAAAAACCTTGAAAGTTAGAGATTTAAACAAAAAAATTTCTTCTTGATTCTTATGATTAAGAACCCGAAAATTACCTACAAAATAAAGACCGTCAAATAAATTTAGCAAATATAAATGATATTTTCCCACCAATTTAAACTTCATCACTGATTTTCTTCAGCGGAAGTTTGTGTGAGTGGCTCAGCGCTTCAAATTTTGGATGCGATGTCGTCTTCTAGGCTTCGATTACTCACAATCGAATCCCCAATTTCTTCTCAATTCCCCAGAACTTTAATCTCCTCTAAATCCCACAATTTCTGTTTCTTTCGATCCATTTCTTTCCAAAAGATTCCCTCCAAATCGCCGTCGCCACTCGCCGTATCGGCATCGGCGTCCTCCTCCAAGCCTCTGCAACCCGTTGAAGAACTCCCTCCAAAGCTTCAAGAAATCGTTAAGCTCTTTCAATCCGTTCAGGAACCGAAGGCCAAGTACGAGCAGCTCATGTTCTATGGCAAAAACCTCAAACCCCTTGACGCCCAGTTCAAGAACAAGTCTAACAAGGTCGAGGGCTGCGTTTCCCAGGTCTGGGTTAGGGCATTTTTGGATTCGAATAAGAATGTTGTGTACGAGGCTGATTCGGACTCTGTTCTCACTAAGGGCCTCGCCGCTCTGCTCGTTCAAGGCCTCTCAAATCGCCCCGTCGAGGAGATTCTGCGGGTTTCTCCGGACTTTGTAGTTCTTCTTGGGCTTCAACAGAGTCTGACGCCTTCTAGAAATAATGGGTTCCTGAATATGTTGAAATTGATGCAGAAGAAAGCGCTTGGGTTGCTTGTGGAATCGGAAAAAGGTAATGGCAGTGCGATTCCATCGTCTAAAACTGATGATTCTGTTGAAAAAGTGAAATTGGATTCTAATACTGATTCTGAGAACCCAATTGGGGATTCGAAATCGGGGAATGGAGGAAATGACAGTTCTGGTGTATTGGGAGATATAGGGAAGAGAATTAAGGAGAAATTGGAGAGAGAGCTTAGTCCAGTAGAATTGGATGTTGAAGATGTCTCTTATCAGCACGCAGGGCATGCTGGGGTCAGAGGTAGCGATGGAGAAACTCACTTCAATTTGAAGGTTGTGTCAAAGGAATTTGAAGGGAAAAGTTTAGTGAAAAGGCATAGGCTCATTTATAACCTGTTGCAAGGAGAGTTGCAGAGTGGACTGCACGCCTTATCCATCTCAGCAAAGACACCTGATGAACTCTAAAGCCAATCGAGAAAGGCCTTGTCATCATCATAACTCAATTGAAAGAGGTTTCCCATATTTTTGTTTTCTTTTTCTGTATTCTATTTCTATTTAGTGGCTGAGGAAGTTCTATGATTTATAAGAAGTATTTATGTTAATGTTATAATAATGTTAGGCTTAGATGATGAAGTTTTGTCGTCAATGGACCTGTAAACAATTCTTGTTCTCTGATAGGAAAAGAAACAAAAAGGTAAAGAGGGCGTTTTGTAATAGAAACAAAACTCACATACTTTGCCAATGAACTTTGTGAGTGACTCATTTCATTGGTACAAAACGAGTATAATGTATTGATCTGTCTTGTGGGTTTTGATTTTGCTCAAGTGTCCTAAGATTTAAGTTGATTTCTATTCTTAGTCTCTCTAAGGTTGTATATACTTTGTTCTTCATGGGGAGCCTGGTAAAGAATCTTTTGAATTTTTGTCCAAACAATGGTACACTGTAAAGCTCAGGGACCATTCTAGCCATTGAATTCGGGATTTCTTCTAGGCCTTGTGGAACTGGTTGTGGAATGATTTTGATTAAATTAAAGAAGGATGTCTGGTTAGAATGGTGTTAACTTAAATAGAGAGATCACTAGAGAAAGGAAAAATTCAGATTTCATCCTCCCATTCTCAACAATGTTAGAATGAATTACTTAGCCCAGCAAACAACTAAAAACAGATATTAAACAAAATTTGAAAGCTTGAATCAGGGTATCTACACATTTTAGGCAAATGTCATCATTTAAATCTTTGAGTTCATTTTCTTGAATATTTCAGTTTTTAATTTACCTCTTTAGGAATTAACTAACAATTTCGGCCTTTTTAGCCACATCAGGATTCACTTTTTTCCATGTTTAAAAAGAATTCATCAAGGAGACCATTTGATGTTTCAATAGGAATTCTCAGCGTTCTCCTTATTTTCTCGTGAAGTAAAATAATCTCTTATTTCCTTTGATTTTAGATTTGAGGAATTTACAAGGTTTTAGAGCATAGTGTTGTTTATGTTTAGAAGAGACCTTCCAGATCCTTTACAAGCGTAGAGCTGAGATGGTGTTTACTACTTTTCCCACCCTTCCTTTGATCTTGGAAAATGTTTTTGAATGTAAGCTTGAGCTATATTTTGCCATGCACTCTCCGTCTGGTGGTTCTGTGGTTTTTTTCCAACATAGAACAAAGATACTTGTGAATGTGACTTGTGGACGGTGAGGGAGTCGATTTCTTTCCACCAAAGTTTAATTACTAGGGAGTATCAGCCCCAAGAGAGATGATTGATTTCCACGATTAATTCAGTGACTTCCTGAGATATTCATGATGGGTTGAATTTTTCTGAATGCATTATTTTAAATGAAATTTATCGCCGAACTTCTATAAGTCAGTTTGCTTCTAAATCAACTATAGTCTATCTTCCTCTGGTTTTGGTGCACTCCCGGTTTGGAGACAGAATGATCAAGATTTTATATTCGCTATAATTTCAAGCTTTTTTCCAATAAAAGAATTATGTATATGGTTTCCTGTTTTGAATATTCAATTTGAGGACATGCTCGATAATTGAATCTTTGATTAGATTAACTGATAGTAGATGATATAGTAGAATTTAATTATCAATCAAAGGGACAAGCTGTAAACCTAGATGATTTTAAGGTCTCGAGTTCAAACCAGTGGCCATTTACCTAAGATGTAGAATATCTCTACGAGATTCCCAACAGCAAATATGGTAAAATTAGACAAAAGTTCTATAGCATTAAGCTAGCCTAGGAATCCATGGTCATAAAAGAAAATACCAAAGAACTGTCAGTTTGAAAAAAAGTGGTTCCTATCAAAAATAAAAAAAGGGATTGACAGAGAATACTCGAGGGATATCTGGTTGATACTCACACATGTTTCCCCTCTAGCTTTTCTCAGGGCCACATATGGATGCAATTAGTTCATGAAAGAACAACAGGGTAGAAAATGATGTAGCTTAGACACTAAGAAATAAAATGTCCAATTGATATAGCTAAACAACAGCAAGTGGGCAGAGTTATTAAACTGAGGATTTTTTTTCTTTATCGGTTGTGTTTCTGTAGTCTATATATCTTGATTGATCCTAGGTTCACTTTTTTTTTTGCTAATTGTTAGTGAAGAATCACCTAAAAATTTCACACACAAACCCCATTCGACCCAATACCTCCCTTGCATCAATTTTGAGAATGTAGAAGCCAAAAAATGGTGCAAACCATGTCAAACAGGATGGATGTTGTTTAACTGATATTTCAGAGCTATTCAGATTTATATCCATAATTGTGATGTGGATGATCCATACAGAGATTTCATAGAAGGTGTACAATATATATATGTGTGTATATATATATTTCTGTTTCTTCACCTCTTGGTTCTGCAACTCCGAGCAACTAAAACGCCGGTTGGTGGACTAGTCATCACCAACTGGCATCGGCTATGTAACCAGTAGGAGTAATGGATGATACCCAGTGAAGCTCTAACTTTGAAAGTTCCTCTGATGTTATAGATAACCTTGTTGTTCTGTACCTGCCTTCGGAGTACCAACCCGGAATTCTGTGGCAAGTAAACCAGACTGGATATCAAGTGAACAGGTTCTAACCTCACTTCTTTTCTTCTTTGACTGAAAGGCTGGATTGCTTGAGTTGCTATGAGCCTATCCCCAAAAAAAAGCTCTATGTCTGCATTCTCGTACCTTACATCGACTCTGTGATTCGGGTTGGTGAAATTTGTGAGAACGGTGAAGTCTCCATTAAGATATTCCGCTGAATCAAAGTAGATGGTACTGAGGCTTGCATTTGGTATGTCAAACAGGGGATTTCTTGGTCTAACCACCAGGAAAACAATCAAAGTTGCAATTCCAAAGAAGATGAGGAGAATACTAAAAAGCATGCAGAGGCTTGCAAAACACCATATAATCGGATTCGTTTGGCGTGGCCGAGCTTGCTGCAGTATCGGCTTTCTGTAGTTACTGGAATCTATATGACTTGGATTCAGAAGTGGAGTGTGTGGTTTCGTAGCTCGATTTTGTATGACTATCTGCTCCAAAGAAGTCAGTTCTGCTTGTCTTGAGGGTGTAGCAGAGGTCAGAACAGGAGATGTTCGAGCGCCCTCTGCCAAGGCAGGGGACGGTGCCACCGGTGGAGCAGCAGCGTTGGACGGTGAGCTTGCGGACGGAGCTGTGAAAGGTGGTGGTGGTGGTGGTAGTGGCGGTGGAGATAGAGGCATCTGAGGAAGGCTGAATGAGAATCCTCTGAATCAAGTAATGAGGAAGATGAAAGATGATGTGTTTACCAATTTGTTTATATGAATTGTTAGGTGATTCAAGTAGAAAAATGGGAACTAAAGAAGCTTTTGATAAAGGGTGTGGGGCCAATGAGCTGTTTATTGATATTGGGAAAAGAGAGAGTGTCCTAAAAGATGAAATAAAGTTGAACCAAAATATGTGTGTGTTTGAATGACTTCAGCTTTTGGAAATTGCAGTTCCCTCTTAAGTAAAACTCATGAGGAGACTTGGCCATTTGTGTATTTATGTATGTATTTCACATGTAATCTAAATGGCTATATTATACAGTTTTTTTTTTTTTTCTCTTTTGAATAGGGCTATATTATATGGTTAAATGAATACTTTTCTGTTTCTATTTCGTCACGAATTATAAAACATTGATCGCCATTGGAGAAAATTGTAATGATATCACGAACTTCCTTGAAGCACACCCTTACTCGTTAGGAATGGAGGGTGAGATGGGGACGAGATGTATTTCACATCTCCGCTCCCATCCTCAAAATTTTGAAACTGGCCAGGATTAAGGATTACTCAGTTTGGAGATGGATTTCATATCGGGACTTTATAATTGATTATAGATGTGATTATAGATGTTTGCTTTTCGGCGAATAGACAAGAGAATGAAGTCTTTAGTGAGTTAAGATTGTAATTTAATACATTGGTTGTAAAATAGCGATGAAAGATCAAGTAAGAGAAATTGTTAAAAATAAGTATTACTATCATCAAGGTTTTAAATAAGAGAAATTGTTAAAAATAAGTATTACTATAATCAAGGTTTTAAATGTATCAAATGTCGATGTCTCAATTTTATGGAAATATGAAAATATCGATGATGATTGATATCTCCAAAAAAATTATAAAAATAAAAATTTATAACAAAAATTTATATTAACAAATAAACATTTCAATCTTTCTAAATAAAATAAAAGTTATTAATGTTGATACTTGTTGATGCATAAATGCTCTAACTTTGAGAATGTTGAGGCAATGAGGATATCTTCTCATTTTGAATATAAGATATATTCTCAGGATATCTTCTCCTTTGAATCATAAGGTCATCAACATATATCTTCGTAGAAAATAGGAATTTTCTCATCCATAACATTACTATATCTATATTAGTTATATATATATATATATATATTCTTTTTTATTTTGCCAAAATTTTATGTAAAATTTTCAAAATTTTGATTCACTCTTTGTATCAATTTTGAACAACCCATCACCATTAGAAAATATAAGTGAAAATACAGAAATATAATACTTTGGGTGTAAGTCAAATGTGAAAAAAAAGAAAAAAAAAAAGAAATTGGATAGAAAACAAAAACTTTTGATGTTTATGAGATCCATATGAAAAATAGAAGACCGAATCTTTAAAATGGGAAAAAGCCATTTCTGATTCTTAGCCTTTTAAGATATATCAATCCATTGATTGATGGGAGAGAGTATTACTGAAGCAAACCTTAAATTATTTTCATTGCATTTTAACTGCCATAAAACATTTTCAGCTTTTTATTATTTAATGTAATGTGATAGATTATCAATTTCCAAAATTTACCTTTTTTTAGTCTAATGCCTTGAACTATGTTTTTCCTCTAAAAGGGATACTATAAACTTTTAATTTTATCTAATATTTAAATAAGAAAATGAAATTAATACTGTCAACTAACTAAGAATTTTTCTTTTTAAGAAAACAAATGTAGCAAACTATTAGCATTCTTGTGGCTAAATGAGTATTGATTTTCCTAATTGGTGTTGAAGGTTTGTTTATATAGTTTTAGGCATTTTATTATCGAGTATAGATGGCTCGTTTGTAGCTTGCTTTTGTGACTAGATTCTGACTGACTTTGGACATCTACGTGCTTTGATTTAAATTTTTTTTTTATTCGTTAACTATTTTTTTCAGTACAACATGTGGAGTGAAAATTCGAACTCACGACATTTTAGTCATGCCTTAATTCTTTAAGCTAATTGAGTATTGAACTTCTATATTATTAATTAATAGGTTTTTAAGAATTTTTTTATTTTTAAAAAACCAAAATAAAAAAGAAAATTTTTATTTAGCTTTAAGGATATTAATATCAAAAAACTCACTCAAATTTGTTATTTTTTGAAAAATACACAACTCATGGAATAAAAGTGAGTCAGTGACATACCTCTTAAAATGTTTTTTTTTTTATTTTTTTATTTTTAATGGTAACATTTAGTTAAAATTTCAAAGAGCACTTTAAACCATTTAAAAATAATATTCTTAAAAAATTGGTAAAAAGTACTTGCAGTGCTTTTAAATGAAGCGTTGAATTAATTTTCTTCTAAATGCTACTCCAAAAATAGTACTGAAAAAAAAATTCCTTCCAGAAACATACCAAACTCATCATAAATAAACAATTACTATAATTTTAAATAAGTTATTATCAATACCAGGTAGTAAATAAGTGATAACCATAAATTAGTAATTATTTTAGTTTTGAAAATTAGTAATTAAGCACTCTACTAATCAGTAATTACTAACATTCCATGACTTTCATTCATTAAATTTAAGGGTAGTAAGTTTGAATTTCCACCCATATTTGTGATATATTCTAAAAATCCTTAATAAACAAATATGTAAATCAAAAAATAAATTATTACTTAAAAAAAAACAAATAAATTATTACTTTCATTGTCAAAGTAATGACCATTATATATTTTTTTAGTGCACCTAGTAATTACCAATCAATTACCAATCTGTGTACCAAAAAAAATTCAATTACCAATTAATGATTAATTAATAAGTGATTACTATCCATTAAAATTTATTAGGAATGTCAATCAACATTTACTATTAATTCACTAGTAACATAATTGCTAATCAACAATCACTTTGATGACTTCTCAAAA